TGGATCAGAGCTACTAGTGACTTATCTTCTGGTGTTACATGGTTTTTGTCGTTAAAATTGGGATCCCAAGATCCATGTATAGAGCTCTGTTGTGGCTGTTTCGGTTTTCATAAAAGGTGTTACATGGTTTTTGTCGTTAAAATTGGGATCCCAAGATCCATGTATAGAGCTCTGTTGTGGCTGTTTCGGTTTTCATAAAAGGAAAAAGATTGGTGTATAAAACCTGTTGTCATGTTTGCTGTAGTTTTGTTTCTGCCTTCGGATCTCGCTGTGATAGTGCAAAGCTCTTTATTTCTCTGTAACCCAAATCTGCACAAAGTGAAGAGAGATACGTTTTGGTTTGGCTACATTGTGTCTTTTCTTCTTTTTGTAACCAGGTGAAACCAAGACCCTGGTGTCAAGCAAAACACTGATAGAAGGCCAGAAGTTGTCATTCGTAAACGATCTTACAGTGACCAGGGATGGGAGGAAGATCTACTTCACTGACTCCAGCAGTAAATGGCAAAGACGAGACTACTTGTTCCTGGTTATGGAAGGCACGGATGATGGGCGGCAAGTATCTCCTTCCCAAAGGATTTAACTTGCTGTAAGCTCAGTTGTAGGAGTGGGCTTCACCACTTCCTTGATCTTCACATTTTTTCTCTTTGTAAACCCACCTTTGCAAACATTGCACTGCGCAGGGGAGGGTGAGGGAATTGCATGGATGTTGCTAATGACACCTGCAGCAAAATAAATGAGATTCCCCTTTTTCCTTCAAGAAGAGTGGCATGGAACATTTGTTTTAAAAGTGAAGGTGTTAGCATTACATTCAGCCCAAATCCTTCATGAATACTGCCAGTCTCAAGTGCCTTGTTATTTCTCTTGTGTTCATAAACAAATGCTTCCTGTCTATTCCGCCTTAACTTAAACGTGGTGCATGTGAGAAAAGATAGAATGCCTGAAGAATGAAACACAGATGTATAAATATTCATCTTCACTCAAAAATGGTTTATTTTCAGCCTCCTTGAATATGACACAGTGACAAAAGAAGTAAAAGTCTTAATGGTGGGGTTGAGGTTCCCCAATGGTGTGCAGCTCTCTCCTGCAGAAGACTTTGTCCTGGTGCAGGAGACAACCATGGCTAGAATCAGAAGGTGAGTATAACTTTGGAATTATTACTAATCTGTTTAGGGATTGTTTAAATAAAGAAATGGAATGACAGAAGAAACCCTACACTTTAGTTATGCTTGGTTAAAAATGACACGGTGACCTTCCTCAATACTGAATTTTTTTATTTCACTGTAAACGTCTGGGTTGTGTAATCTTTCCATCATGGGCCTCCTTAAGCATAGTGGAGTAAGCTGACTTTTTTCTTGAGGAGAAGTGTGTGGCAGTGCTGTATTTCCCTGTATGAAAATAACGGGAGAAGAATTGTTTTTTTAAATCTTGGGACTCTCATTTGTTAAATGATTAAGTTAATCATTTAACTTAAGATTATGATTAATTAATCATTAACATAAGATCGTGTTAAACTGATTGAGTTAAAATGTTCTAATGTATTATCTATAACTTTCAGGTATTATGTGTCTGGGCTGATGAAAGGTGGAGCAGATATGTTTGTTGAGAATATGCCTGGTCTTCCAGACAATATCAGGTTAAGCAGCTCTGGAGGATATTGGGTAGCTATGGCAGCTGTGCGACCCAATCCTGGATTTTCTTTGTTGGACTTTTTATCTGAAAAACCATGGATTAAAAGGATGATATTTAAGGTAAAAAAAAATAAAATAAATTAAAAAGAACTTTTTTTAAAAAAAAATCACCTTTAGTGGAGGAATGGAAGTGAGAAATATTTGTTTGTCCTGTTTCTTCCTCTTCACAGGAAGATTTAAAAAAACATTAGATGTTGTGGTTAAAACTGTTGTTGCTTTCCCCTGGTAGAAACAGCCCTTATTTATTAATAGGTAGTAAAATTTAACGTTTGCTTCTCTGAGTAGCAGGTACACATCTCTTAAGTTGCCTTCCATCTTGATCTTAGGAAAGAAAAAGGGACTCTCTCTAACCATGCAGCAAGACAGGATCTGCATTTGGATATGTGAAGACTTCACCTGAAGTGCCTAAACTGCTTATTGCCAGGTGTCTGAAGAGCATTTGGGAAGTGTGAGCTGTTCCCATGGCTGCCCTAGGCACCCTAGGAGACAGTGTGTACGTTGTGGATGGTGTTAGGTGACATTTTGTTCTGGTTCACTCTGCCTGTTTTTGTGTCACCCCGCTTTAGGATGAGGAAGGATAATGTGTTTTTTTAAGGGCTAAAGAAACAGCATGGTGCTTTTTAAACAATGCAAAGACTTGAAAATACTTCTGTCCTCGAAAAAATAAAATCCAGCACGCAGTGCTTAGGATTCCATTCCAGCTGAACAAGCTCTATGCTGTCCCTGTCTCTCCTGGTGCAGTGCAGGAGCTCTGAGTGATGCTGCAGGGAGCTTGGCATCAGCTGCACCAGAGCAAGCTGCTATCTCTTACGTGGGCAGCCTTTCAGCCTGTCTCTGGAGTAGAGTGAGCTTCTGCTGATCCTTTTGTTTCTTCTCAAGCTGGCTTTTCAGATACTAATGTGTTAACCCTGTGTAAGAGTGTTTACTCAAAATGTGTCCTTGTGTTCTTAGCTGCTGCTTCTGAGGAGCGTGGAGTGGTCTTTGCCTGTATAAATGTCTGAGATCAGATTGTGGAGAACAAAACTTTTTGTTAATTTTCTTTTCTTTCTTTCTTTTCTTTCAGTTGCTGAGTCAGGAAACTGTGACAAAGTTTGTACCCAAATATAGCCTTGTTGTTGAACTCAGTGAGACAGGATCCTACAAAAGAAGCTTCCATGATCCCAATGGAGTGACAGTAGCTTATGTCAGCGAGGCACATGAGCACAATGGACACCTTTACCTGGGATCCTTCCGCTCTCCCTACATTGGCAGACTTGATCTCCAGCATGTTTAACTGCCCACCCATGATGAAGTCCCACTGTCCTGTACTACTCCAGAAGTGCAAAGGAACCATGTGCTTGAGACAGTGTGTGACCAAGGACAAAAAGTGAGAGTCTCTTAAGGTGCAGGAGCACTGTGGCCATAGGAAGAGATACAGCTTGCTGTACCTGTCCTCTGTCTTGGCTGACTGCTCATGCTCTGAAGTTGGCCTGTATTATTGTTCATATCTGAGGATAATGGTGAGGCATCTTCATTCAGTTCTTTGTTCCTCCAAGGAAATCCATTGATTTTCCTGTGCCCAGCCTTGTTTGGAATCATCTTGAACAGACACCATCATGTCGCCTTTAATGCAACTGTATGTTCTCTTACACTGGAAGGATTTGTGATGGATGGAATTTAATAGTGTGTGATTTGGGTGGCTTGCATGTGTTTATTTCTGTTTTAGTGCCTCCTGTCCCAGAGTGAATACAGTGCATGTTCTAATGTTATACTATGGTGCTGTGGTAGAGGCAGCAACATCCAGGACATGCCGAGGAATCTAGTTATGCCATTGGGGTTCTTCAGTCCCAGCCTGTGTAAATAACAGCAGATATTGCAATTAACTGTTAATTAACATGCAGAATCAAATTGGATCGTTACCTGTGGGCTCCTGTGTTTCTTTATAACATTGAGATCAGACAATGAATGAAGTTGCATTTTCTATGTTATTAAGGATTAGTTCCAATGGGTCTGAAAAGGGTTGTTTGTAGAATTTCCTCCATGTTTTACCAGGTCCTGGATGTCTCCTGTTCGTTATCTATGTGACCATTCCAGGCAGAAAAGGGCTAGCTGCAGGAATCCTCTTCAACATGCTTTTTATGAAGAAGTGGTAAAGGTTTTGGGGAAGATTGGTGTCTGATGATGGATGTGGACTCAAACGGCCTCTGTAAAATCTACTGTTGGTGGATGAGGAAGGCTTTGGTGGAAGTTTTTGGAATGCAGTAGTAGCTCATGGATGCATCTCTGCTAACAGAGATAACTCTGTTAACAGATACTCTGCTTGGTAAATCCAGAGAATGCTTTGCTGCCAGCTGTGGCAAAGGAAAGCCTGTGCTGTTAGGTTTTGTGGCTGCAATGGCTGGCAGCACAAAGGAATTCCAGACAATAACTCAGTTTCACAGAGGAACCAGGGAGGAGGGGGGCTATGGTGGACCTTGTGCTCACCAGCAAGGAGGGAGAATGTGCAGCTCAAGGGCAGCCTTGGCAGGCATCATGAGGTGGTGGAGTTTTAGTTTCTTAGAGTAGGGAGGAGGGTGTAGAACAAACTTGCTGCCATGGACTTCAGAAAGGCAGAATTTGGCACCTTCAGGGATTTGCTCAGTAGAGTACCATGGGATAAAGCCCTGGAGGGAAGAAGGGCCCAGGAAAGATGGTTGATATTCAAGGATTACCTCCTCCAGGCTCAGGAGTGATGCATCCCAGTAGAGAGGAAGTTGGGAAAAAATGCCAGGAGGCCTTGTGAACAATGAGCTCCTGGACTAGCTCAGACACTAAAAGGAGGCCTGTGGAGGGTGGAAGCAGGAGCTGTAGCCTGGCAGGAATACAGAGAGTTTCCCAAGCAGCCAGGGATCAGGTTAGAGGAGATAAAGCCCTAAGAGAATTAAACATGGCCAGGGACATCAAGGACAACAAGAAAAGCTTCTGCAGGTGAAACACTAGGAAAAATGAGGACCCTCTCTGGAAGGAAAGGGGAGACCTGACTACTGGAGACATGGCAAAGGCTGAGGTGCTCAGTGACTGTTCTGTCCCTGTCTCCACCAGGAAGTGCTCCAGCCACACTGCCCGAGCTGCAGAAGGGAAAGGCAGGCACTGGGAGAGTGAAGAATCACCTGCTGTAGAAGATCACATTTAGATCATCTGAAGGTGCACAGGACTTGTTAAAATGCATCTATGGGTCCTGAGGGAACTGATAGATAAAGGGGCTAAATCACTACCCATTGTATTTGAGGAGCTGTGGTAGTCCAGTTAAACTCCAACCAACTAGAAAAGGGGAAAATAACCCTCATTTTTAAAAAAAAAAAAGGAAGAAAGGAAGACCTGGGGAACTACAGCCTGTCAGTCTCACCTCTGTGCCAGGCAGGATCACGGAGCAGAGAGACTAAAACATGCTGCTCAGGGAAGCTGTGGATGCCCCACCCTTGGGAGTGTTCAAGGCCAGGCTGGACTGGGCTCTGAGCAACCCAGTCTCATGGGAAGTGTCCCTGATGATCTTCGGGGTCCCTTCCAACCCAAAGCATACTGTGATTTTAAATAAGAGGTTTTGCATCTTGAAGAACTAAAGGGGTTGCTTCAGCAGCTGTGTGATTTAGTGCACTGATACTTCAGAATCGAAGCTTTTGCTGCTCTTTCCTTTTCTGCCACTGGGTGACAATACAACCTAAACTTACACTATTGCTGCATTTCTTCACCTTTTGCAAAGGAGAGATTTGCTTTAAATATATAACAAAAAGCAGCAGAAAAGGGGAAGGTGATGCTAAAAATGTCACCTGATTTCTCTGGCTTTCTGCTCTTCTCTTAATAGAGGGCTATGCAAATGAAAATTACTCTTCCCTGTCAGTGCTTCTGTCACCTTGTTCTGTGTAATTGCCAGGCTGCAGCAGTCCTGTGGCATAGCTGATGGCTGCTGGATCAGGTTTATTTGTTTCTGTACAGGCCAGGGGCTGCTCTTTTTGGGAGAACCCAGTCCAGGGCAGGCTGCTTAAGCACCAGCTCGTTCACACTGCTCTGCCAGCCCTTGCAAATATTTGTCCTTTTCTGGTGAGATATGAAAGTTGATGTGATCTCAAGTTGGGGTTGAAAAAGCAAATCTACTGTGGTGATTCTTTTATGCTGATGCTTTCGCACTCTTGGGGCAAGCACAGCTTTGCCTCTTAGTACACAGTTATCACTAGCGATTTATTTGCCAAAGTATTTCATCAAGTAACCTTTGGATAGAGTGCAGTTCTCAGTTAATTTTTATTTTTTAAGGGTACTGCAGACTGACTGGACTTGTACCCCGTAAGCTCCCTCTATTTGTACAGGCTGGACACACAGGCTTTATTCAGTCTGAGAGATTAAATATCTCTGAAGTCTGTAAAGTCCCAGCTGTGGTGGGTGGCACAATGCTGAGAAACAAACCTTGCATGGCTGCTTAACCAGGCCACTGGTGTTCCATTTCTCATAAGAACCTTAACACTTCCATTTTAGCCAGGTCCCATTCCCAGGGTTGTGCTGGATCCTGATAATCCATCCATGGTATGCAGAAGTGAGAGGATCTGTAATAAAACCCAGATGAAACAGATTGACTGACACACAGGTCTCATTATTCACCAATAGGGGTGCTTAAGAACAGTATTTTTTTGGAAACTATTTTTTTCTAAAAAAAAAAACCTCTAATCTTTGATTTTCTCTCAAATGCAAGAGTAAAGCAGCAGCACTAAGATGCCTGTGGAATAAACAAACTAGCATAAAGTACTCTTGATGCTCCTGTGAGGACTGGTTTTTCAGGCTCATTCCACTTCCACAGAGGCTGAGTCAATGCTGTGTGGATTTCAGATGGATGGTGACACACCTGCCTTGAGCAAGGAGAAACCTGGAACAAGTCAGGCTTGGAAAAAAACAGCCAGTCTTCTCTTTTGATGATAGGAGTGCAGGAACATGACACCTCTGCAGCTCTGAGACTGGCTTTTCTCTAGTGTGAGAAGTATTACTGGATGCAAGAGCATTTACAGAGGTATCCAAAGGTATTGTCAGAGCATGTTTGGCTTTTGGTGGCAGAAGAAAAGGGCTGTGGTTCGCTAAGAAGGAAGTCCTCTCTGCATAACTCCCAGAGAAGCCTGAGGCTGCTTCCTGTGTGTTACCAAGTTTCTTTTGGGACAGACTATGGCATATGAGACAATGTTGCCCTGTCTTCTGAAAGGCTTGGAGAAATTTTCTTTTTTATTATAAAGCCTTGCAGTAAAACCATCCAAGGAAAGGAACGGAGCTGGAGTACACCATAGCTCTGCATTTAAAAATTGTGTTTTGTTTTGCCTTGTTGGTGGAATAAATGTTTCTGCAGGGCACAAGTATGGAGAAGATTTTGCTGAAAGTATTTAAAATATTACTCCACAGTTAACTGCCTTGTTTCTTGTCTGGAGCAACTTCTGTACTGGAGCTGCTGGAACATAACTTGTGTGCCCCTGACACTTTTATGTAAAGGTTATTTTCTCAGTGTGAACAGCTGATGAAAGTGATTGCAAAGCCTTGGTATAAATCTGATTACTTTAAATTTGTGTCTGCTTTGTGCCAGTAAAAACTTTGCAGGTGAGATAATGACCTCTTAAGCTTCTGTGTCTGTCTGCTCAGTGATCACAGCAGGGATCTGATGATGCTGACACTTGGGCCTTCTCATCCAGCCTGCTTAAAAACAGTGCTGCAAAAGAATGAGCACGGGGGGCAGCTGATTTTTACTAATTTGAGGTAAGGACTGAAGAATTTAGCAGTAAGTTGGTGTAGTTAGCCATGTGTGCAAGGCTTTTTTCTCTCAGTCAGCAGCTGTCCTGTCTCCTTATCTGTCTGCTGCCAACTAAACCTTGTGTTGGTTCCATGTAGCTGTGACTCCCCCAGCTGTCAGTGGGCTCTGAAAGTCAGTCAGGTTGTGAAACTGGGTGCATCTGGTAAAGGCAGAACTTCCAGGTCCTTCATATAGAGCTGCTGCTGTCAACAGAATGCAAAGTGGGAAGTCTGTCAGTCAGCAATGCTTCATATTTTGATGGCAGGCAGTTTGTTTCCTATGCAATTTAAAAAAATGGGAGTATGAGAGAAAATATTTGCAGAGCAGAGCTTTTGAGCAAATTCAGATCTCCATTTGAGGATCACCAGCCATTTTGAAGCTCTGGTAAAACTCAGGTTGTGGTTATCCCACAAGCTCTTAATGTCACTGCTGGGATTGTTCCTTTTTTCTTCAACATACAGGGCTGGTAGAAGCAAATTTTCCTTCTCACCTCATGCCCTAAATCTTTACTAAAAATATTTTTGAATTGCCATTGTAACCTGAAATAGATGTTAGAGACCCAGCAAGGTCTGCAAGGGTATGAACTCCTTGGAGTGAATTGGTGAACTGTTAACCTTGGTGTAAATTGTAGCCAAGATGCAGAGGACAGAGGCATTGGCTTTTTGACGGCTGCATGTCATTGTGATTAAGTGGTATTTAGCTGCACTTCTTTAGGTCAGTGCTAGCAGTGTCCTCCTCTTTAATTACCCAAATCCTTCCTGAGTGAAGTGCTCTGGAGTGATACAAAGAGCTCAGTTTAGCTCTGCTTCTTTCTTTGGTGCTGATGAAAGCTCTATTACCATAGCTGAGGGGATGATGGATACTACAATTCCAGTGTGCCTTTCTTATTGTAAAGCACACTGGAATTATATGTCACAGTGAACACTTGGATGCAGCTTTGAACATAAGGCTGATCTCTCTTTCTCAGCAGGTGTTTGTTTGGATAGAGAGGTCTGAGCAGTCGTGCTGCATTTTCCTTGGGAGAACAGCAAAGGCCTGTTGGATTTGTCAGCCTGCATGATGCCAAGTTCACCTGGCTTTAACTTTTGTTGCTCTGACAAATGGAGAATTGGCTTGGTGACTGAGATGAAGTGCTGTGTGTCAGGGGCTTGGAGAGCTGCACAGGGGACACTGTTGTGTGACAAGCTCACTGCCTGCATGCATCTCTGCACAGACCTGAAGTGACAGCGTGCTGCCTGCTCACCCCCGTGGTGGCATGTGAGAGGCAAATGACATCTGTTCCTGAACACCAGTCTGTCCTGCTGGCTGAAGGAAGGAACACGGATCTGCCCATCCTGTTCTGGCCCAGACTGTCTAGAGCTGACAGCCTGGTTGGAAGCCCTTGGCATTGTGTGGAGCATACAGCTGAAGAAGAAGAGGAATTGAGACATTCCTAACCCCTCTGAAATACCGGGAGCAGCTCTTCCTGGCTTTTGTTGCTCTCCTACTAACTTAGCTGTGGCTTGGCTTTCCTGCTGTGTGGACAGCCCAAGCCACCATAGCTGCCTTTCTTTCTCCTTGTCTTTGGCACCAGGCTGGTGGTGGTGGCTTTGTGTGATGGCTGAATGTAGCATGACATTACATCCTCTTGTGGCCCTTCTGGAACTTTCTTTTGAGCACTGTTGTAGGGTTTTTTCTGCCACAGAAGACACTGCTGTTCCCAAAGATAAGATGCAGCACGGCTCCCTCTGCAGCACTGGATGCTGAGTTTGAGCTGCTGCTGGGCCACCTGTTCATCACAAGTGGTGTTTCTGAAGGAGAACTTGAAACCTGCCCAGCTTTGGGATTACTTGAAGCAGATACTCAGCTGTACTATTAATACTGTCTGTTTTAAGATCTCCAGACCTTGGATTAGAGCCTCTCACTGGCCTTTCTTGACAGAACAGTTGTTACAAGGGCTGAAAGTGGGTGTATTACTAATAGGAGTTACAATATTGCTGCAGAAAGGCAACAACTCTTAGAAAAAAAGGAGTATTTGTGGGGAAAAAGTGTTCCTTGTGGCTTAGATCAGGGTCCTGCCAATTTAGAAGTGCTGATCTGTGTATGACTGATCATGGGCTCAGACCTTATGGCTGTTTTAAGGGGGAGCAGCTACCCAAATTCATACTAATAGGAGCCTTAGTCCACTGTAAGCAATAACGAGCCCATGGATGAAGAGTGAAGACTTGAAAGAATGGTAGATGCCCACCTAGAGAAGATCATTATTGTACTGAATGTGAATATAAACTGTGGTCTGCCAGAGATTAAATGTTGTATATTAAGCTGAATGGAACTATGTCATTTAACCTCAGAATTATTCTTTGGGAATATGATTAGATTTATTTGCCTTGGCATTTGCAGAGATGCCCTTTCACAGTGTAGCTCAGCTTTTGATTAAAGTGGAAGCACTCATTGGACTGTGTCATTTCTGGGCTGTTTGTGTTTCAAGATATCCTTATCCACAGCTCTCTCTTAAAAAAAAGATCAGCTCTCCCTCTTGCCTTCCTGAAAGGTGTGTCTGACCATTTCCCTGGGACAGGAAAATCTTAAAACTTGTGTGTGTGTGTGTGTATACCCAGGCAAACCATCCCTAGCTTTCCTCGGTGTTGTATTCACACGTGCTGTTGCTTAGGTTTGTTTCCATCACGGCTTTGTAAAGGTTGATCACAAAACAAGTGTAACAGAGCTTCCTGGGAGTGCTTGGAAATTCAGCCAGAGGATGGATGTCAATAGAATGACAACACTTGTTCATGTGCAGTTTAGTTTTGGAAAAACAGATACACAACTGGATAGCAAGACATTCAGTCAAGGCAGGCCTCGTCTTTGGAGTGTCTTTCTCAAGGGAAAAACAACCATGTGCTATGAAAGAAGAGCTCTTTGGCAGTTCTGTACAGCTGTTCCCCACTCCAGTATTGACCTCAGCAGTCCAGGCAAGGAAAAACTCATGGTGGGAGATCCCGTGTAAGTCAGGCTCTAAGGTCTTGGTGACAGTGGGCAACAGGGATATGTACTTTGTGTGTCCAAGGTGTTATCCAGACCTCAAAATAGCATCTCAGCATCTGTGAATAAAAGGGGAATAGGTGAGAAAGTTCTGGTGTCTGCTGATTGACCTCAGCACTGCAGCCATGATGAGGTAGGAGAAAACAGCACCCTTTTGTCTACCTGGTTTATCCTAGGAAAAATACTGTTTGCTAAGTCATGCTGTCTAGTGGGAAAGCCTGTGTAAAGTGTCTCCCACCCAGGAAATCTATTTAGCAGCTACTCTATTTCTGCACACTCTCCTCAGTCACCCAGGAATATGGGCCAGGTGGATGTGTCTGGTTCAACTCCTTGCAGACAGGAGCTGGCCCTGGATGCATGAAAGGTGATAACCTGGCCTCACCCCAGCTGGCTCTGCAGAGGAGAGGCTTGTACACATATGAACACATGGCAGAGCTGGTCTAAAAGTGATTGTATAGCTAATCCCCTGCAGTTCCTGGGAACCCCAAGAGAATTGAAGACATACCCGTTGCAGGTTTTTTTCCCTCTGAAAGTGACAGCTGTCCAGGCTGGAGTGACCCCTCTTCTCACACACGGTGCGTTTGATTTCCACGTGGAGCATGTACTTCAGCCCTCTGACAATCTAGAGAAAACAGTTCCCTCCTGTAAAGTGAGGGCAGGGGAAAGAGATGCCCAAACTTTGGCTAGGAATCAAATGCTACACCTGAGAACTGTGTGTCCACCTACACAGAGCCCTCCTGCGCAGCAGTGCTATAGGGGACAGCTTTAGCAGTCCTCAGGAAGATCAGGGGCGTTGTGTCTTGGATGTGCCATAGGAGGGTCAATTAGAAGATGGTTTGGAGGACCATCAGGTGTGTGCTGCTCTTACCTGTACCATGGCTTTATTTATCTGTGATTCCTTAAACAGAAAGAGGTCATTGGAGCTGTTGTTGTATCTGTAGACCCCAAAGCGAGCAGCCTTGCGGACCCCGGGGTTGTTGGTGTTCACTGGGACAGGGGAGCCAGGTCTTACGGTTGAGTGGGGTGATGGTACATTTGTAACTGAAACAGCACAAAATATCAGGGTAAAACACAGCAGGGACATGAAAGGGTGGGAGCTTCAGCCCTCTGAACCAATTCCAAACCCTTTTACTTGCCCAATGCATTTGTTCTTCAGAAGGCCTCTGCTCACATCTGTTACAAAGTAATTTTTGTTTATATGTTTGAAATGGTGAAACACTGCTAGGAAATGAAGTGACATAAAGGGATGCTGCCAGAAATTAAAACAGACCTCAAAACAACTTAGAAGAAGCCAGAGTATCACAAATATTATTTAAATGTCTCTGGTATAACTCCCCATTTATAGAAGGACTAACTTTTAATCTGCTTATAAAGATAGGTCATGTTGCTCAGAGTACAGTACAGTTTTGATAAAATATCAAACACTGGCTTGAGAGTCCTGCTGCTCTTAATTTGCATATCTTATCTTACAGATGTAAGTTTTTACCCCACACCCCACCCTTAAACCTTTGATAGCATCTTGAGGTTTTTATGTTAGAAGGATTTAGATGTTAGGAAGAAACTCTTCACTGGAAGGGTGATAAGACACTGGTAATTGTTTAAGCCCTGGAAGTTTTCAAGTCTGGGCTAGATGGGGCTTGGAGAAACCTGCTCTAGTGCAAGATGTCCCTGTCTGTGGCAGGGGGTTTGGAGGCAGATAGTCTTAAAGGCCCCTTCCAACCCAAAGAATTCTATGATTACCAAGGCCATGGAGTGGAGAAGCAAGGTGTGTAGGAAATGGAAACTGCGGAATTGGGGGTGGTTAACCCATGGCATTTCACATTAGAGCATTTCACAGAACCATTTAATGTATGTTTTTACTTGCTTGGGTAGCTCTTTCCCCATGCACCGCTTATTTTTCAATCATTTAAAAGAAGCTTGAAGCTTACAGGTGATGTCATTATTTCACCTCTTTTTTGCATTTCCTTCCTCTCCATTTTCCCACTTCTGAAATCAAGGAAGAGGAAAAAATCTCCAATCCTGCAGAAGGTGCCATCCAGCCACTGCTAATGCCAAGGCCTGCCAGTGCAGGTGGCCCTGTGTGCATGCAGGCAGTGAGCCTGTGTGTGCTTGTGCACACAAATGTGCACACAGGGGTTGTACTAAATCTGCTGTGAAAGTCAAGCTTTTTATCACCTCTAGCTTTTTTCACAGATAGATCTCTCACCCACAGCCAGCTGCACAGAGCATAGGCTGTGTACTGAAGCCAGTTTGCACTGAGAAGCCGAAGACAGCTTGATGATCCAGAGTCTATTAAAAGGAGAAAAAAATAAACCAAACCAGAATTACATGCCATCATCAGCATGGAAGGTGGCAAGAATTTATCTCACATGTTGCTTATGCACATCCTACTTAACACATGTCACATCCTTCTCACAGGTGTTAATTGCTGCACCCATTTGTAACAGTGCTCAGGGATTTACGCCTTGAACTGCAATGGAGAGGCTCAATTCCATGTCCCTCCTCAACCCAAGGATGTACAAATCCATCTCTCTTCCTGCCTGATACACCAACGACCTTAATGACCCCATATTTTCTTGCAGGGGAAGCTGGGAGACCCAGGCCGTGTGTTGGAGAGAAGCAGATGTTCTGCTTTGTGTCTGGTGTGGAGGTGATGAGCTTTCCTGTGTTATGCCTCTGATCTATGTTGGCACTGGGTGTGCAGCCAGCACTGGGCAAATGTTGTGGTGTTTTTTCACCCAACAGCCCAGAATCCACTTGTTCCGACTGTTCTCTGTGGGATGGTGTTTTCCCACTGCAGCAAGGCTGGGATTCAAGAGTCACAGAAGCTTGTGACCATTCAGCCTCGGACCGAAGGTATTTCTCAGGCAAGCACATCTCACCCAGTGCTCAGCTCATGGGTGAAACTTTTCACAGGTGTTTGAGGCACTGGCATCCACAGGTGATTCAGGAGGGCCATGCAGGACCTGTCTACAGGCAGAAATGAAGCTCGAGGCAGAGCAGAGCCTTGGTTTGCCCACAAGGCCAGCTGTCCTCTCTCTTAGAAATGCCATGCTTTATCCTGTGCCATCAATACCAACCCAACAGCTATGGGGACCAGCTTCTTCCTGAGCTCACCTCACAGCTGGGACATTCAGGACTGGATATTCTGGACTCTCATCCAGGCTGAGAGGAGGTTGCTGCCTTGGGCTCTTGCTGCTCCCCAGCACCTTGCTCGAATATCTGCTCTCACACCTTTTGGAAAGTCCTTTTGGTGTGGTAGTGGTGAGGGTGTTGACATCAGAAACTGTTCTTTGTAGAAGGGGGTGATAACCACAGCCTCTTTCAATCTTAACACAATGTCCTTTTGTGCCTTTTGAGAACCCTCAACACCTCTTGAGTCATGGTGGCATCTTTTATAGGCACGGGGTGAATGAGACTGGCTGAAATCACACTATGCAGATGGGAAGAAAACTATTCTGTGTATTATTCAAACCAAGAGTCAGAGTCCAAGAGCCCTTGTTCCCGACTCTGGTGCCTGGGAGATCCAGCCGTGTCACACGTGGCCAGGCCTCTGAAATGCATCACCTGGAGAGGTGAGCAGGCTGGACAGGTGTTGTAGACAGGTAGACTCAATACACCATGTGTTGTAAGCAGGGGATAGGTTATAGGTTATATTTTTTTCCCCAGCTTTCACCAAGGGGTACTGGGCATTTTACTTCTTTCACCTGTTGCAACCTGGTGTTGAAAATTACTCATACCAGAGCAAAGTGGGTATAAAATCTACTGAGCCCTTATGGGAGATCTTCATCCCACCATTTTCCTCGGGGGACTCTGATTCCTTAAGCCTAGGATTTGGTTTTCTTTGTACACTTTCATTCCCATTGAAGGTGGTCACTGCATGGCACCCACACCAGTCTGAAATCACTTTTACTGTTTGGAATAGTTTGCAGTGCTATATTTCCAAACCCCAGAGACTCTTTGATATGAGGTACCTGTAATTCTGATTTTCTCTCTGCAGCCTTTGACTGTTTCATCCCTGGTTTGGCTTGAGTGCCATTACCTAGAAATTTGAATTTGTGTAAGGTGATGCCCCATTCTAGACACAAGGCAGACTTGGCTCAGAGGGTCAAAGAGCAGTGCAGGGCTGTAGGCATACCAGCATTCCTGAAACATCCAGGCCTGCACAGAAGCAGAGGCACAGCATAACTTGGTCAGGCACCTACAATACTCGAAGGCCACAAATGTGTGATCTCATAATCTGAGCAGACAACCCTTGCTGCTCTAGTGAGAGATGCTTAGGACCAGAGCATTCATATTCAGAGCCCATCCTTGCTCCTGGATTTGGAAATTTGAAGAGAGATGGAAAAGCCAGCCCTTTTCCTGCTCCTTCTGCTGGGCAATCGTAGGGTTAGACCTTTTTCTTCCTCAAAATTAACAGTCAACCAACTGTTATTAAGCGAACAAGGGCTGTTCTTGCAGATATGAGTTGAACCCTGTATTAAGAGGCTCTCTCTTGTGCTTTCCTCCTTGAGGATTGCTTTGGCGACCTTGTTCCTGCAGTATGAGAGAACAATCCTGTGGATGTTCCCTCCTGGACTGCAGTGAAACAAATAAGTGGATTGCAACAGGTTGATTTTTATTTTTTTTTCCACCAGATGCTTTGAAAACCTCTTCCCCATTACTCCCTCCCTTAAAAACTTCCTTCCTCTAGCAAGACTAGAGCTTTATCTTTACATTTAAGATATGGCAGAGTTCCTGCATGCCTGTGCAGCCCCCAAAGGAAACCACAGCAGAAACAAAAAGCTACTGGCTAACCAAACACCATCCCTGAGTTCTTTCTGTGTATGAGAACCAAAGTAATACTGAAATATATTCAGTAATACTGAACCAAAACCTTCAGAGAAAAACACTCATGTCTGCAGCTCCCATTCTAAAGATTTAAGGCCAGCTGCAATCAAGAGAGTTCCCTTGCTCAGCAAAGAAAGAAATGAAACAGGTTAATGCTTCATTAAAAGTCAGCTAATCGGCACTCAAGTGTCCATCTGTACTTAGCAGTCAGATTGTTACCCACAGTCTTTAGATTTAATAATCAAGGTCATGCAGAGTTTAAACACTGACAAATGAGTTAAAACCATAAATTGACTTTAAAACCCCTAAATGATATCCCTGGATAGCATGGATCACTACACAAGGAGAAAGTCTTTCGAGCAGTTTGAGTTTTCAGCTGCAGCCTGAACCCTGCAGTGCTAAGCTGGTATGGGCAGCAGTCAGGGAAAGGCTGTTATTTACCAGAGCATTACATAGCAGCACCCACTGAACCTAAAACACAAGGAAAACAGAGATTACTTTCCATTCTTACCACCTGAAGTCCCGGTGAAGCTCCAGAGTGCCAAGCAGCAAAGAGCAGTGAAGCCACAGGCAAAGTTCACTGCCATCTCCACCACGTCAGAAGAGGAGCCTGACAGCCAAAAGAATAACTGCCCTGCTTCCTGCCAGAGAAGAAGTGCCTCTGTGAATGCTCTTATTGGCTGGTGGGGAAGAAAAAAACCACCCTAAAACCCCCTGAATCATCACAGCTCTGATGCAGACTTTGTCTCCTGCTGATGACCACATACCTTGAAGCCCAGCCACAAAGCTGTGGCTTCGTGATAGTAGCACCAGTCTTGCATGAGGCAGGGACTTTTGCCTTGTGATCCTCAAGTATTGGGCAGAAGCATGGACAGATGCATGTGATACAACACTGGAAAGGAGTGTGGGGGTGAGGAGAGTTACAGTCATGTGCTTTAAGGATCATGGGGAAAATTCATACCTAACAAATCGGCAACGAGCCCTGGGGATATGGCTCTTGGCTTGCATATGTGGTGTGGACACCTGACAGAGATGATGGCTCCAGTGTCTTGCTTCCCCTGTGGTGGAGATGTGGGGTTTGGGTGAGGGAGATGGGGAAGTTTTAGGGGTACTTACCTGAGGGGTCTATGTGGAACAAAAGTGGTAGGGAGCACATTTTGGGTTTGGTGGCAGAGGAGAACATCACACCCTACATTTATAAAAGGTGTTATGACAGCAGGAAAAGCCTGCATTAGTGAGGATGAGTTTTTTCCTAGGCAATATCCAAAAAGAAGATAAACGGGGGGAGAGGGGTGTTTTATCTCTCTGTGGCTTGCAGAGCTTTTCAGCTCTGTGATTGGATTCTCCAGTGTAAGTCCTTGGTTTCCAGAAGATCCTCTCTGGGCAGTGCTGGCCCATACTGAGGAGCTTGAGAGATAAAACAGGGAAAGGGCTTAGTTTCCAGACTTTGTGGTGCAGCTGAAATAACCAGCTGACAGATTCAGGAGACTGGGAGATGAAGTGCTGTCTCACTGGAGGGCTGAGAAGGGTGGACCTTGCTCTGTGTGTGTGTGTGCATTTGTTTCAGGTGAGCAGGAAGGTGATGGCTGCCTTTCACTTGCCCCAGCAATGCCCCTTTTCAAGCAGAGGCCTCTTATGGCCTCAGATAAAGTCCTAATGCAGGGCACTGTGGGTGGTGTATAAGGGGCTAGAGGAAAATATTCTTAATGTTTTGTTGTAGGAAGGGATTAGATAAATCCTCTTTTGAAATGTCCCACAGAGAAACAATGGGGAAAGCATGGTGTGTCACACTGATCATCAGTCCCTCTTGCATAGGCTGCTGAATCAGACTCCTGAGCCTATGGAAAACACTGACACAGAATGAGAAGGACTGTTGTGAGGGGATTTTAATTACTCTGCCTCCTTCTTTTTTTTTTTTTTTTAGCTCCCATGGAAGCCTGACCCATGACTGTGACACAGGCAGAGACTCCATCAGGTGTCTTCAGCTCCCTCCTTTCTCCTTAAGAGCTGTTCTCTACATTTGCTGCCTCACTGACAGGTTCTGGAGAGTATCTTTCTAAGCCTATAGTCAGGTCCTCTAACGTGCAAGAAAGAGGTGGTTGGGACCCTGTAAGGCCCCAAAATTTGCTTGATGAGACACTTAAAAGGGCTTATGGGTTTTCATTCACTCCAAGATAGAGGCATGGGAGAAATACTAAAGGATATTCTCAAGGGGTTGAAACATCTTTTTTACTTTATCTTTAGAAAAACATCTTTAGAAAACCAGCAAACTTGGACAAAGTGTTTAGAGTACCCTATAGCAGCCTTCAAGTACCTAAAGGGGGCCTAAAAGAGAGCTGGGAGAGGGATTTTTGATATAGTGGCAGGAAATGGCTTCAAACTGACAGAAGGCAGTTTTAGATTAGATATTGGGAAGAAATTCTTTACTGTGAGGGTGGTGAGGCATTGGTACAGGTTGACCAGGGGCATTGTGAATGCTTCACTCCTGGAAGTGTTCAGGGCCAGGTCGGATGGGGCTTTGAGCAACCTGTCCTGGTAGAATGTGTCCTTGGCCATGGCAGGGGGGCAGAACTGGGTGACCTTTGAAGTCCCTTTCATCCCAAACCATTGTATGATTCTATAATAAAGCCAGATGGCAATTTCAGAAAAACAGCATGTGTGACACATTTTTTCCTGTCTTCTTCCCTTGCCCTTCCTTTCCATAAAAATTGATTCTTTATAGCTCTCCCATATCAAATTTTCCTTTTTCCAGTGCCCCTTTTATGATTTTATTGAGGAAGTTTCTCTAGTTCTTTACTCCTAGGAAGTAATAGAGGGCTCACTAATGAGCATTAGCATTAATAGGGCTGGTATTATGTTAAACCCACCCCCCCATTCCCCCAGTAAGAGCCAAAAAGTATCAAACTCCTCTAAGGCCACAATACACATATAGCTATTATTTTTCTTTGGGAAATTTTGTGTTGTGGAATAAACCAGTGGCTGGAGATTGTGACAGTTGTCCCTTTGCAAGGTCTCATTCCAAGTCATTCCAAGCAGGTGTCACTTCCTGGGATACTGTTCTGTGCCCTAAATCCATCTGCAAAACTGGAGCAGCATGATGTTTTGTCTGACATTCAACCCCAGAAAATGAATCAGATACTCTTATCTGAATCTTCCTGAGGGTCACTGGCAGGAATTTCATCCCCTTTCCCTGGAAAGCATATGTAGATCTCTTCTACACCAGCCCAGGGCATGTGGGGCACTTTGTGGAGTCTATTTCACTCACTGAATTTCTCTGTGTGTGAGCAGGCATCCTGAACAGGGAGAGGATGTGTAAGTGGGCACAGAAAGACTCAGAAATTATCCCAGAGTAAACAGAGCATTTGCTTTAAGCAAATAGCTAGCCCTGGCTCATTCTAAATCAAAATTGTGATCCTTCTGCATTAAGATGGATTATATAGGTCTTGAAAGACTTGCACACATTAAGAACCCTGGTGTTTGGGTTTTTTTTGGTGTGAATAAGGGATGTTTATCACAAACCTTGGGGTACTGAGTCTGCTTTGTTTTCTGCAAGGGAATTTGCAGGGTTGTTGCATTCTCACTGTTGGCCTGAGTTACAAGAGGTTTTGGCAACAGTGCAACTCTGGGGACTCTTTAGATTAAAATTAAAAAAACCCAACCAAACTTCTATTATTCATAAATCAAGGATGTAATTATATCCTCCTTTGGACTGAAGAAGCAGAAAAGCCACTGTACCTGATATTTGATTTTCACTTGGAAGATGAGGTGGACTTCTTCATCATCACTTTTTGCTTCAGTTATTTAGGGCCAGACATTTGCCCCATTTGCAGCACAACCCAGCAGTTGCTGCTGTGCCTCCTGGAACAATGCCAGCAGGATCTGCAAGAGATCCTGTTGCAATTAAACTCCTGTAAATGCAGTCAGCATCCAGCCCTGTACCCACAATATTTAATTTTCAGTTGTGACTCCCTTTTTGTACTTCATGGATCAGTGGGGGACTGTAAAAAACACAAATCTCATTAACTTTTGCAGGGAGTTGGAGGATGACTGGAGTGTGTTTGAATTGTGCGTTCCAAGGTTTTAATTAAGACGCATTTACCACTGTCAATAGTTGCATTTTTTTTCCCCCTTTAAATCTTTTTAATATTTTCCAGGCTTTCATCAGATCTCTAGGGCAGCAAATTTAGTTGGTGTTGCTTTAATGAAGGGTGTGAGCAAGATATTCCATACTGGAGATCTGCACTTTGGAAGGGCAAAATATGTTGAGGTCCAGAGAAAGTATAGTTCAAGGAAGAAGAACCAGGATAAAGAATCCACTTGAGGACTCAGCTGCTCCTCTACCTTCCTACAGCAGGAACACCTTGCCAGGCCAGCTTTTGTAAGTGGAAAACCACCCAGACAAGCCACAGGATACTCGAGCAGGGGTGTGGCTGAACAAGCTTGGTGAGGTACAAGGGGAAGGAGCATTCAGTCGGTGGTGGTGGTCACATTTGGGAACGTGTCCATATACTCAGTAACAAGAGGATGCATGAGAGAAATTGATGGGTTGGCTTCCAACCAGAGAATTTGTCTATTTGCCTTTCCTGCCAGGTGCTCTGTAACTCACCCACATTCTCCTATGCCTCCACTGCATAAGAACTGTGACTTTTCAAGGGGATTGAGGCTTGTGTAGTTGCATCTGCTTTTTTGGTTTTCCTACCTGCAATAACTTCTGAATTTCCATCCAATATGAAAGCAGTCTGGGAGGCTTGAGGATAATCTGGTTACCATACATTTCTAGAGGAGAGACATGAAGAAGAAATAACTTGGCTAAGGCAGGGGTAGGGGACACAACAGTGTCATTATTTAGTTTATCTGCCAGCAGCACTGTCAGCTACTGTGAGAGATGGCTTATGAATTGCACTGCAGGGTGCTGTAATATATATGTGAAGACCCCTCCATTTTTTACCTTGTGGCTGTTTTATTAATTTTGACATGAACAAACTTGCCGTCCCTTCCCCCTCCAACTGGAGAGTCCAGGTGCCTGGAAGCACTGTCTCAGCCCGCTGGCTGGGGTCCTCTTTGGAGACCAACCTGGTTAAATGGGTCTTATCACATCGGAAAGTGTCCCTTAGGGAAGCTGCAGAGGGTTAGAGCTGCTAAAAAGCTATCCAGATGGCCAGAGCAGGGGTAGCAGTGAGAGGCTGCCTCAGGATGGCAGCTGTCAAGGATCAGATGAACGCTGGGTTTTCACTATTCAGGATCAGTCCTAACACAAACCATGAAAAAGCAGGTGCAAGACACGGTAAGGCACTGGCACAGCAATGCAGACCTGTGTCTGCAATGCAGTGTGTGCTGCAGGTCTCCCAGTGTGAGGGGAGAAAAATCTGTGCTCCCTAGCTGTGTTTGAAAATCCCTTCCACAGCATGGTGGAAGTCCTGTGCCTGGCAGGTAGCCAGCTATTCAGTGCTGGTGAGACTTGGATCTGACCAAGAAGCCCCAGTCTCCTTCTGTTGTGCTGTTTTCCCTTTCACCAGGGCTGCCAGCTCTTCCCTGCTTCTTCACATCCACGAGGAACAACCAACAGCTGATCTGAAGAAGGGCTGAGATGTGCTTTCATACACAGGTGGTAACACCAGCATGTGCAAAATGCCCCCTGGGCTATGAGGATGGTGTTGGAGAATGGTGTCCTGTAGAGAGCAGAAAATCAGGTCCTAAATAAAATTTAAACCAAGCAGAACTGCATGCTTGCCACTGTTACCTTAGGGACATGTGGTGCCCAGGCTGAGGGCCGCAAATGAAATCCTTCCTCCATTCCCAGACACTCTGCTTGTCCCTGTAGTTTTGTCAGAGGCTGAACAGCCACACAATTGTTACCTGCTGAAATCCATGCTGAATTACGTGCTGAAAAATGTGGTTCTATAGCAAAAAAAAAAGGTGAAGAATCAATCAGGGCTTAATGATTTTTCCCTGACTGCAACAAGGGCTGTTTCTCAGCAGTTGGAATCCCTGTCCTTCCACTCCCACTGAAAAGTTGAGGAAGTTTTTGATCACAGGCACAAAGTGAAAGCTTCAAAGCCCTTGTCTGCAGACAAAAGAGACTTCTCAAAAACAGCTCCACCTGTGAGGGCAGTTATGAACAGCCCCTGCTTTGTCAGTGCCTATGAAGAAAACCAGATAGTTAACGAGGATGGAATAGCTGTGCTTCAGTTTTATAAAAGGATACAGAAATGCCACTAAGCCTCCCTGCTTCAGAGCACTGTGTGAGCTGTGCAGTAGTGGTCAGAGAACAATGGGATGCCTTTTTACCTTGTCTCGAGGTCCCGTGAGATTTGTGCACTTCTCTTGGAATGAACAAGTGCAGCTGGCTGTTGTAGACTGGCAGAATGAATTTAGCTGTGCTAGAGACACTGCTTGGGAATTTTCTGTAGAAGATGTTTTGTTGCAATGTCAAAATATATTGCTGTGAAATGAGCTCTCAGGTACCTTAGATTATTTTTTTTTCTGTTTTCCATCAGCAATACACAGCCAGAGCAAGTGTGAGTGCTTTGGATTGTGCTACCATTAAACAGGGCTGCTGCAGTGCGTCAGGGGAGCTGTTCTAACACATGCTGTGTGCAGGGTATGGAAAAGGGTCAAGCTGTGTGTTAACTTTGATCTCCCCCTGGGGCTGTCTTGGTTTTCCAGCACATTTAGTAGTACCTCATTTTGCAGTATGTGCCCTAGGTGCAGCCAAGCTCCAGCACTTCCCCCTGAGCCCATGACCAGAGCTCTTGCTCTGGCTCAAAGATGTACCTTCTGTATGAGACTGGTGGAGTGGGAAGCTCTGTGTCAGTGTTGTTGCCCTGCAGTCCTTCAAATTGGCTTTTTCGGGCTGTGCCTGAGGGTGAAAGCTGAAAAGTAAGGAGTTATCTTTGGCAGTAGGAGCAGAGATGCAGGGGGGGAACAGACCTCCCTGAAGCTGACCCTCTCCAACCTCCCAAGCAGCTGCAGTGATCAGGTCTTCTCATTTATTTCTGTTTCTTCAGACTGCTGACCTCTCTGAGACAGCAGGATATCAGAGTTTGAGCAGAGATCAGTGAGCAGCTCTCTCAGAAAGATCTTTCCCCAAAGAATAGAATTGCTTTGTCACAAGCTGCTGGGGAAGACCCATCACCAAGATGATGCAATGAGGTAAAGTGAGGCCCTGCAGATTTTCTGTGTGAGATGGAAAGAGCTGGGAGAATTTAAAATGAACACTGAGGTGTGAGAAAAATTCACTGGACACTCAGGGAGGTTGTTCTCCTCCTCCTACTTGCTGGGCAGCCCAGCATCATCATGCGAGCACGATAATGAGCCAGGGAAGAGGGGAATGGCAGCCTTGGGACACTTCCACCAAATGTCTGGGGATACACACTCTTTTGTGTGGGCTGCTTACTTGTATGAAGGCATCATGCAGAAAACCAAAGAACCAAGACATTTGCATGAAAGCTTAGAGGAGCAGCTGTGCCACTGAAGAGCTGGGAACACTTTTTTCTTTCCTGTGGCAATAGAGATTTCTTTGTAAACCATCAGGGTAGCAAGGAAAAGGTGGAGCTGAGATGAATTCAGAGCCTGTAAGCTACACATGCTCTGAACTGGGCTGACATTCCAGGATGCTGTGTGTCCTGTGCATTCCTCTT